AGGAAACTAATTCCTAAATGCCACCATGTTCCACATGCGGTGATACAAAAAGAATACGATGAACCCTTTGCTCTTGGGGAGTTCACTGTCTATAACAGGAGGAAGTCATAAAATACATATTTAAAATACAATCTTAGTTTCAGGGCTAGAGATCTATAGAGTATTATGGAAGAATTACTGTAACCACTGTGGCAGGTGGTTTTCTTTTGGCTGAGGGCTCCCTGGAGAAGGTTTTGTTTGCTATCACTGTGGACTTAGGAGTCACCAATATAATGATCTTGAACATCCCAAGTTCAGCACAAGTCATTTTGGTGCTGAAGTGGGTATAGGGTCCCAGGCCTAATTGATGTGGTCTCAGAGAAGTGTAGAGAGCTATGGCCCATGTCCCTTAGAGAGGACTGGGGTTTTCTATAGGTAAGGGCTTTCTCATTGACACAAAGTTGTGAGGGCTTCAGGGCCAGGGAGTCTAAAAAACTTGCAGGTAAGGGCATTGTTTTAGATTTAGTTTCTTTGTGGGCCAGAGTCTTCTTTACATTGAAGAAAAAGATAAAGGCAAAAACAGCATTTGAGCAAATAAAAGCTACCCTTGAACTTACCTTTGCCCGATGCGCTCTTAACAGTCAGCTTTGATAACTGCTAAATCTTTCTTCTAGGAAGTGGCACATGCACTTCTACTCATATTTATTTGGTGAAAGCAAGTCACATGGCCAACTAGGGAAGAGGCGGAAAATGATAGGAATGATAATACGATCTATCATAACTACACTGAACCCTAAGTTGATGGTTCCGAAGGCAAAAGATCAAGAAGAGGTAAAACAAAACAAAAGAAGGTTTATAAACACAACTTTAAGCAGGTAAAATAGAAGATTCATCTATTGAAGAAAGAAATTCAAAAGAAAAAATCAAAACTTTTTTTCTTTTCAACAAAGCTTAAAACCTTCAGAAATAGAAATGCATATAATGAGGAAAATTTGAACGTCTTTCTTGAAGAAACAAAAAGACCTAATAAACTAAACAGCCATTGGAGAAGTGTCTTAGTTCTGACGTTGCCTTTAAGCATACATTTTTAGTGTATATGAATTGGTTTTGGGAGGTCACAGAAGGTATATAAAGAGAAAGTGGACCCACAGTGAGCACTTCTGTGATTTGGCATTATTGTTCGTGTCTCAAATGTTATTTGCTCACTTACTGACCACCCAAATTCTACTCATTTTTTACAGTTTGCTGCAAATACCCTTTCCAAGAAACTTTCCTGAATCATTGGTGTAAAAGCCATATCTTCCTTAGATATAGTGGTGACTGCATTTCTATTAAACATATTTTGTATTGTCTTGTATTACAGTAAATTATTTACTCTCCTCCAGAGAACTGTGAATTCCTTGAGGGCAGAAACAGCGTTTTATTCATTTTTGACTCTCACAGTGCCTAGTGCAGAGCGGGGCACACGAAGGAAAACAACACTTCACTGCTGTTGAAGATTGTACACTGCAATCTGTAGAGAAACCCCCTAACATGCATGTTAGTTCTAGCCTCCAGGTGATCCCAGAGCATAAGGTGCACACAAAAAGAAGAAGGTAATAATTGCTAATGCTACTGTAGGGCCCAAACTTACCAATACAATAAGAAAGTCTCGGTAAGGTAGTAAAACAGTGAGAAAGATAAAGAGGAGAGGGCTCTGTAGGTACATTGGGATGCTGGAAAGCAATCTTAGTATTTCTGTTCCTCTGACATCTAGATTACTATGTCCTTTTCAGGTATTTCTATTTCTATTCCCTCAATATCAAATGGTAATTAGTTATATAGGTCTTAGTTTTAATAAATCATTCTACTGATGTGGCTTGGCCTTACTTATAGAAACACTAAATGCGAGCAATATAAAGTTAATTTAAAGGATCAGATACAATATTAGGTTGAGAGGTGATTTAAAGTCATTAAAAGGATATGTGGAGTACTTATGTTCACAATACAGAACATGAGTATTTTTAGATTCTCTGATATTGGATTTAGATGTGTGTGCTCTATTTCATAAATCAAAGCATTGGCCTATATCTTTGATCTGTGTGTTTAGATATTTTAGTGACAGACACCTTATAATAACTAGAAATAGAAATTCCATCTTTGGTGGTAATATAGTACAGGGACCTGGGAAGAGAAGGTCTTAAGGTGCTGTTAATTAGCAGAAATCTGAAGCCCACAGTCTCAAAGCAATTAAGGCTGTTAATTGAATATGTCGATGCTTAATGCAATGGCTTATGTGTCTGAACAGGGAGATCTAGCTTGCATACACGAGATAGCCACATTGTACAAATGATGTTGAACAATTAAAAAAGAACAAATATGGGCCAACATAGGTTTGTCTAATAGTCAACTGCATTTTTGAATGGTGATACATTGTTGGCTATTTGCAAGATTGCCTATTCACTGCAAGATTCAATATTAATAATTAGATCGTTCACCCTACCTTTTGTAAATATGGCACACCATTTATTCATAGAAAAATCAGTTTTTTCCTATGGTGATTTTGCTGTCTTATCATTTGGCAATATCTCAATGATTTATGTTATACTTTAAATGCAATTGGTGGTCACAAAATGGCTACAATATCACATCTAGGCACATTTGGAGGCAGAGAAGAATCGACATTGCTGATGAGCTCAGAGTAGCAAAGTGATTTTAGGTTTTTTTTTTTTTTTTCGAGTTGGAGTCTCACTCTGTCACCCAGACTGGAGGGCAGTGGCCGATCCCGGCCACCACAGCCTCGACCTGCTGGGCTCCGGCGATCCTTCCACCTCAGCCTTCCAAGTAGCTGGAACTACAGGTGCGCGCTACCACGTTCAGCTCATTTTTTTGATTTATTGTAGAGATGAGGTCTCGCCAAGTTGCCCAGGTGGGTCTCGAACCCGCGGGCTAAGCAATCCACTCACCTCAGCCTCCCAAAGGCGAGGGATTACAGGCTGAGCCACTGAGCCCGGCTAGCAAAGTGATTTTATTAACAAAGTCCTTCATAGCCTTTGTACGGGCTACATTAGCTGTGACATTTGATTAATGTGTTTCTTTTAAAAAGAAACAAATTGAAGATTGTTAAAAAGTTTATAAGAAAGGAAAAAGAAGCGAAACGTCTTTTTTAGAAGAACTTTAGTGGAAAGTGGGTTTATATTTGCAGTAGTGCTTATAATTTTTAATAGCTATGACTTTAGGGCAGGCTTCTGCTTCTCTCAGTCCCATGCTTCCAGAGATGCAGAAGAGTGTCTGCTGAAAAACACCTGGAATGCAGTGAGTGAAGAAATAACTTAGTTTCTCAGACTGGTTCAGTCTTCTGAACGGTGTCATGCTTTGTTAAGCTATCTGAGAACTCCTTACAATGGAAGATGAGGCCAGAGGTCTTTGTGTTACAGGGGAAAGAGAAAGGGCAAGAATGCTTGAAATCCACAGGTATCCTTTAAGCTAAAGTTGGCCAGTGGTTTTCACCTATTTGACTAAACCTTCCAGAAAGTGGCAGAACTGATGAATTTGAGCTTCCTCTCCACGCCCTTTCCCCTTTGGATCCCAATCCACTTTTTGGAGAAGTTTGTAATAGCTTGTGAAATGCCTTTCTAAAAAAGTGGAGGTGCTGAGCAGGCAGTGAAGGATCCCAGGACAAATTCCCTACAAATTCCCAGACTGTTCATTTCCATCCTCATGGAGGAATTAACCATTCATCAGGATGGTATGAATTAGGAATAGGCTAGTCAAGTTGCTAATAGACATTTTGGTGTATGCATAGAGCGTATAATAAACAAATTGTACTTCAGATCCAAATCTGAGTTTATTATGCACATATATTTCTAAAAATGTGGAGGTGACCTGCTTAGGGATTATTGATTAGGGCTTTAAAAACACGCGGGAACAGAGAACTGAAGTCATGAACTCTGGATTGTGAAGCATGTTTAAGAGGTAACAGTGCCACCTCTTTGGATCAGGAAAGTTCCTCTTTGTTACGCAATGGGTACACTTCATTATTTACACGATTTCACTAGGCGATGGGGAACTGTGTACACAAGCAAGGTGAGCCTGTGGTAGCACCCTAGACTCTGAAACACACCAGACAGCTTCTCTTTGTTGCCTTTTGCTAGCCCTGCCTTTTTTTTTTTTTAATGAAAAAATTTCCCTAATTATATCTACTTCTCTAGACTACAATTTTTTTTTTCTTAAACATTTTTAGAGACTACAGGCTTTTCGGGAAAATTCCCATACTTGTTTCCACTGTGCTCTAAGACGCATTAAAAAGTAAACAGTAATAAATTAGAGATTCGGCTGGGGAACCCCTATTTATTTTGTGACGGGGTCTCCCAGCTCCCTCTTTCCCTCACCCCCCCGCCCCCCGCTTTTTGGTACTTCCTGGAGTACGAGGGGAGAAAGTCCCGGGCCTAGGCCGGGCACACGGGGTCCCGAGGACTGACCTTGGGAGACTTGCGGGTTCTGGAAGGCGAGCGCGGGAGGCGCAGCGAGAGAGCAAGCGGCGTGGGGGGCGCCAGGAGGTGCCGGGGGTGACCCCGCGGGACGGGAGGGCGGGGGCTCGCTTTTCGTTTCGGAGGTTCCGGCCAGGTAGCCCGGAGCTGGCTCCCGGCCGTGCGCTCCCGCGGCCCGGGGGCCACGGGGCGAAGGGGGCGGGCCCGCGCGCGCCAGCCACGCCCCGGCCGGGTTTATAATG